ATGCCCGGCTAATTTTTTGTATTTTTAGTAGAGACGGGGTTTCGCCATGTTGACCAGGTTGGTCTCGATCTCTCGACCTCGTGATCCACCCGCCTCGGCCTCCCAAAGTGCTGGGATTACAGAGATTACATTTTTAAAAGGCAAAACTATCAGAGATAGAGGAGAAGGTGCAATTCTACTTAACTCAGGGGTAATAAATATAGTAACTACTGTATAAAATATAATAATTATTACTTATAAACCAATAACTCTGTATTAGGCCCTCTGTTAGCACTCTATGCCATCTCAGTTAATTTGCACAACCATTTCATAGGTAGTAAGAATAATCTCCATTTTTGCAGCCGAGAAAACCAAGATTTTTAAGTGGTTGAGTAGTCTGTCTAATAACAACACTAGTAGGTGGTAGCCCTGCAATGTCAAATCTATGACCTTCTGGCTTCAGAGTCTCTGTCCTTTGCACTACACGGCATTGCCTTTAGGTTGCAGTCACATGTCTTTTCACTGTTGCCTTTTATTTCTATTATTAGTTGCTTTCAGTTCACGTATCCTTTTCCCCAAAGGGAATAATCTCAGTCTAACAGCTGGATTATAGTGATCAGCTGGTTAAATTAGCAACAACATGTATACCTCTGCTCAGTATGGACTATCTTTCTTTTGAGCCAGACTGAAATTAAGTTGGGCCAAAGATGAAGATGAGAAAGGAGGTGACGAACAAAATATCCATCTTTCTTGACTGAAATGTAATAGCTACACTGTGGTACAGAAATATACACACACATTGTGAGAAACATGTATGGAAGGATCCAGGGCCTTATCGAAGCATAAATCAAATTAGGCTGTAAATAAATCCATATTGACTTACGAGGGTTGGTACAAATAGCATATTAAAGGGGTGATGGCCAGGCACGGTGACTCATGTCTGTAATTCCAGCACTTTGGGAGGCCAAGACAGGTGGATCACAAGGTCAGGAGTTCGAGACCAGCCTGACCAACATGGTGAAACCTCATTGCTACTAAAAATACAAAAATTAATGGGGCATGGTGGCGCACACCTGTAATCTCAGCTATTCAGGAGGCTGAGGCTGGAGAATAGCTTTAACATGGGAGGTGGAGGTTGCAGTGCACTGAGATCACATCACTGTGCTCCAGTCTGGGTGATACAGTGAGATTCCGTCTCAAAAAAATGAAAATAAAAAATAAAAAAAAGTTTTTAAAAAAGGGATGAGCATACACTGGTAGTCCAAACAAGGTCAGTCCTTCCAAACAGCAATATTAACTGTAGTGTCCTAAAGTGGAATGCTGAAAAAAAAAAAAAAAACAACTTGGAGATCAGAAATGAGACCAAGTAATTTCCTATTGACCAGGAATCCATGTATACTCAACACCGTCTACCACAGTTAATCAGTAATTTACGGGAAAAAACACACAACAACCATATTCTTTTTTTGGTAGCACCTAATTCAAATCATGACTAACTTTCTAGTAATCACTCCAATCTAATGTGCATTCATTTAAAGAGCACCTACTCTGCCTGGCACAGTGGGGGAAATAAAGATAAATGAAAAATAAGTTTCTGTTTTAGAGAGTTTATGCATTTTGATGGGGATGATAATACATGAGCACAAATAATTTTTAAAAACCAGAAGGTGACAAGGTGATAAATGCTCTTGGAGAAGCACAGGTTAAGTGCTGAAGAGTCCTAGAGTAGAGATGGGTTTACTTGTAGTTTGCAGGATTTAAAAACATTTAATGGAAGAGGTGGCATTTACACTGGCTTTTGAAGGATAAGCAGGATTTATGGGTGTGGAGAAATTAGGGATGGAGTTGGGAAGGCAGAAAAGAAAGGCCTTCCAACTACTGCTTATCGAAATGTGACCTGAGGACAGCCTGCGATAGAATCTGAGGAAGCCAAATTTGTGCTAGGTCTTGAAGGACTAGCAGGATTTCCACAGGCAGGAATGGAGAAAAATAACTTCCAAAATGAGTTAACGTTTTCTCATCCCACCTGTACATGTGCAGTTGTTACTTAGGGAGTCTTTTTTTCTCCTTTTTCTCCCAGTTCCTTATCATGAAATGGCAGCCACTCATTCACCCCAAGTCGCTTGCCATATGCTTGGACTTTGATGCTTTAACCAATCATAAACTTAAATTGGTTGCTTTTCTATTGGTTCAGTCAGGTTTCAGAATTTTAATAGGCTCAATTTAAGTGTAGTAAACTCAGATATTAAAAAAAATACATGGTTGCAGGTTGTCCCAAGTTATCTACATAGTCTTAGGAATGGTTTTTCAAAGTGATAGTCCACAGACCACCATTCAGCACCAGAATGAACGATGGGGTCTGCTTAAATGCAGATTCCTGGGTCCCACTCCAAGGCCACTAAATCAGAATCTCTGCAGGTGTGATCCAGGAATCTGAACTTCAAGTTCTCTGGGCAATTCTGAAGCACACTAAAGTATGAGGAACATTGAGAGGAAGGGGAGAGAGCAGAGCAACAAAGGTAAGAGAGTACAGGAACAATGCAGTGGGCCATGAGGTACATGAATATTGACCTATAAAGGAAGAATATTGACCTATAAAGGTAACTTGAGGCTAGATCATGAACGGCCCTTCACTGTCAGAGTCAGGGGTTGACATGTATTTGAGTGGCAACAGGGAGTCATCCCTTTCAGTGGCAGAACGCTGTGGTTAAAAGCCTGAAATATGGAGCCAGGATCCTCAAACCTTAGCTCCTCAATTCACTAGCTACCTGACCTTGGGTAAGATTCTTAAACTCTCTGCCTCAGCTTCCACATCCAGAAAACAGAGAACAATAATACTCATCACATAGGGTTATCATGAGATTAAGTGAGTTCATATATGTAAAATGCTTAGAAATGGGACTGGCATATAGTAAGTCCGAATACATGTTAGCATAAACATTTTTGAAAAGAGGTGTAACAAGGTGACGGATCTCTTTTTGGAAGATTAAGATGACAGTAGTGTATAGGAGTCACCTATGCAGCCCCCACCAGCAAATCCTATAACTTTTTTCCTCTAACTCAGTGGTTCACAACCTTAGCTGCATATTGGAATCACCACCTCCTTCTCCTCCTCCTGATCTGGTATAAATCAACCAAGGTAATTCAAATATGCACCCATGGTTGAGAACCAAGGCTCTAGATATATTTCAAATTTGTCCACTTTTAATTATTGAGTCCTTAGTATGCCAGGTCCTTCTCTTGTATTATCTCACTGAAATCTCACAACCATCTTGAAGGTAGGAGTTAACATTATCCTCAATTTAAAGATTTCTATGAAGGTTGAGTAAGATAATCCAACTACAAAGTGGCAAGGCTGAGATTAGAAAGAACCAAGGCAGCTTGGCTCCAAAGGCTCCACTCTGAACCACTGTGCCCCAGTCCAAGCACCCATTTTGTCACACTGGAAATAGTACTACCCTAACCATCTTGCTAGTCTCTCCAGTTACATAATTGCCTCCTTCCAATCTAGTCTGGACATAGTAGCCAGTGAGTTCTTTTAATATGTGAATTGGATCACTTCCCACTTTTTCTTACAACCTTCCAATAGCTTCCCAATGCATTAAAAATGGAAATCCAAAATCCTTCCCACGGCCTTCAGAGTCCTGCATGGTCTAACTCCTAGTCACTTGTCCAGCCTCATCCCGTGCTAGTTTCAACCACAATCACTATATTTCAGCCACCCTGGTCCTTAGGCTCTTTGAATGCTCTAAGCTCTTTCCTGCTTAGGGCCTCTGAACTTTCTTTTCTCTCTACTTAGAATGGTTTTGTTTGGGCTCTTTGCATGGATGACTCCTTTTTATCTTTCAGGTCTCAGCTTAAATTTCATCTCCTCAAAGAGGCCTACCTGACAACTCAAGCTAAATAAACTTCTTATTTTTTATCTCAGTCCTTTGTTTATTTTCTGCGTAGTGCTCACATTGTCTGTATTTCCACATTTGCTTATTATTTTTCTTTTCTGGTGAGTTCCGTAAGAGCAAAGAACATATCTTGGCTGCTATGTATGCTATATATATGGTTGTGTAGGTTGTGTACTACAGAAAGATGCTACAGCTACAAGGGCGCATTCACTGGAGTTTTCTGAAAAATGGCAATGCAGTATCTTACATAAGGGAATCCTTTTCGTAACTCACATAAAGGTTCCATATGATCTAGCAGCACCCTATATGTCTACTGTATTTAGCAATATAAATACCCCAATTCTAGCACAATGCTGAGCATACAGTAGATGTTCAAAAATATGTTGACTGAATGGAAGGAAAGAGGACAAAATTAGGATATTGCCAGTGGGAAAGTGGGAAAAGGGAGAGATATGGATAACTGCTGACAGATCTGGTAATTTGAGAAGAGGTAACAAATGAGAAATTAAACAGGATTACATTTGATCCCAGGAAACTAGAGAAAAAACTGGTGCCATTATAAAAAAAAATAAGAAAGCTAAAGAAGAAAAGACTGGTGTGAGAAGATAATTCAATTTTGAATATAATTTGAGAAAATGTTTTCTGCTTTGCTTTTATTGAGTTTGTCACTATCTTATTATGGGGTTTAAAAATATACGTAAATTTGCTCTGCACAGTCTTCAAAATGGCCACAACAGTGTTTTGCAAGGTCCATTCTTCCTTTTAAGGCTATGAATGAAAATAGTCTGTGTTTTATGATACAATAATTTAAGGGCCAAGCTAGAAGGGATTAAGGATAGAGAAATAAATATATTCACTTTCACATTTGATGACTCTCTCCCATCCTCTCCTGAAGCACTGCACTCTCCATCTAGTGTAATTTTTTTTTTTCTTTTTTAAGACTGTGGCTTTTAAAATCAATGCTTTAATTATTTTTCCTTTAGTTAATTAAAGCACCTTTAAAAATCAAGGCTACCATAAAAATTACTTTTCCCTAGGCCACTGGACAGGTGTTTTCCTCCTTTCTAAATTCTACTACTCAGGATAGCAGCACCCAGGGTTCTTGGGATATAAGACACCTACCTCTGCACATCCGGCAGCAAGAATCTGGAACAGAGACTGGGAATGCACAGGTTAATTTGGGGCAAGTTTTGAGACCACAATACACGTTTCCCTCCTGCCAAGGAGAAACAGAATTAAGATCAGAAACATCTGGTGAAAGTGTAAAGGCTTCACTTAATACCTGAGATAGGGTAGGGGCTCAAAACATGGCATGTCCGTCCCCTGCCCCAGCTCTCTCACCATCAGTTCTCAGTACTTTCTACATTTGATTATGCATAATTTTTTTTCTACTGCAATTTCTCCATGCCAGAGACTAAGCCACAGAAGAGTTAGCAATCCTAGTCTGGCATCATAGTCTAAGGTGGTACAAAGTAGTCTGTGAGGGATGCCGTCAGCCTCTCAAGCACCAAATATAGTCTTGTTTCTTTCTTCTCTGTTCATGGTATCCCTTGGTCCCCCAGCTGGATTGGGGGTTTAAAGGAATGAAGATTTATGTCATAGCTTCCACTGGTAATATTCGCCAGAATTTCCCTTTGAAACCAAAAAATCAAGGTCTCTGGGGTGATACGAAACTATACAAGATGATCTGATGGCCACTGTGCACTCTAGCATAAGCCAAGGGAGAGGATAAAATTTACTTGCTGGTTACATCTGTTTTGGCATTAATCCTGATTTCCTAAATTTCTGTCTTCCGAATGTTATTCCTTAAACCTTGTTCTTAGTTCTTAGAAGCATATTCTTCTGGGGCTAGAAGGGTTCCTAGAAGGACATTAGGAAAGCAAGGCCACAACGAAATTCTCCTAAAATACTGAGATACTATATTCTTACTCAAAGTCTTAAAGGGAAGATATTCTATAGCTTCCCTTGGCAATCTGGTGCTTAATGCCACTTACAGGCAGAAAAAACTGTTTTGACATCTAACTTCATTCCTTCCTGGTACAGTTTAAGCACCCATTTTACTCCATTTTCTAGTTCTATCTATTATATTCTCTGGACTGCACGTTAGGTAAGATATAATTGGTATCTGTTGTTTGTAAAGTAAATGCAGTTCTTCTGACAAGTAATGTCCTAGTACTCCTCATGACCAAACATTTATAGAGTTTTCTCATTGCAGGGCACTAGGAATTAACTGGTTAGTAAAATACTTCAGAGACGGAAACTAACAGACAACTCATTTTGTCGTTAATTGGAGTGAGTTGCCCTACATGGTCAAAGTGACTTTTCCACCCATAGCATTCCCAAAGCTTCATATGATTGTGAATCCTTCAGGTGAAGCCTTTGGTGGTGTAATTATTATGAAAAGGAGTGCCGATCAACACAAACAGCTCACCTTTGCCCACTCAGGCAGTTCTACAGTTTTAAGACCGGGATATGATTGGGCCTGAGCGCTTCAACAGAGTTGTTCAGGGTTGGTGAAGATCAGGGAGTTTGGATGGGCATGGAGGCTTATGATTTAATGCAACTCATTTTTTATTCAAATACCGTTCAGTGCAGTCACAAATCAAAGTACAAATACAGAGGAAGCTCTTGTATTTGGGAGGGCCTAGCAGGAACATTAAGATGTAGGGTCGGGGTCCAAAGTGGCTCCCGCCGGGGGTCATGGCGCTTGCGAAGGCTAGGTCATCAGTTCAAGGCTAACCTGAGCAATCTCATAAGCTCAAACTGATTGGCAAAAAAAAAAAAAAAAAAGATGTAGGGTCTTACCGAACAGCTGCACTGAGTGCATTGATTGGGTTGCCGATTCTGAAAGAGCCCTTCAGCCACAAACAGCTCTCCATGTTGGTAAGTTGTCCCATTGTACTCGCAAGACTTGCTGGTCACCTTATTGTTCGCTGGGGGTAAGGAGTCTTCTGGAACAGGGTGGAGAAAAACCACACTGAGTATTGGCATCATTTAAAAGAAATTCATAAATCCGAATAACAGATGGGGCTATACTACATAGAGGGAAGTAAAAGACAGTCTCTGCTCCAGTGGCCAATAATTTTAAATAATATTAAAACAGCCAGATGAGGACAGCACCTGATATTACCATTCATCCAGCCATGCAGTCATTCTTTTATTTGTTGAGCACCTACTATGTGCCGGGAATTGTAATATGTGTTAGAGAGAGGTCAGAGAGAACATGGACAAGGTCCCTGCCTAGATGGAGCTAATATTCCTAGATGAACAAGATATATCTTTCCTGAAAGGAAGGAGTCCACGTTACCTCTATTTAATCTTTTCCCCAGGTTGCTTCAGAAGAGGAGCCATCTATTGTAACTGCCCTGGTAACTTTGTCCCCTCCCACATTGATTGATTGGTTGACTGGGTCTCACTCTGTTGCCCAGGTTGAAGTGCATGGTACAACTCTGCTCATTGCAACCTCTGCTTCCTGGGTTCAAGCAATTCTTGTGCATCAGCCTCCCAAGTATTTTGAACTACTGACCTCAATTGATCTGCCTGCCTCAGCCTCCCAAAGTGCTGGGATTATAGGTGTGAGCCAGGTACCTGGCCACCTCCCATATTTTTAAACCACTGGTGTGCTTATCTGCTTGTTCCAGCCTCTGTGGTTTTTGCTTATTTTTAATACTTCCACCAAGACTGCCCACTCCCCCACTCTTTTCCACCCATTGAAGTCCTATCTGATTTTTAAAGTTCAACTTAGGCCCACTTTCCTCCATGAAGCATTCTCTAAATAATTCCAGCCACAATCTGGACCTCTCAAGGCATCTTATGTCTGAAGCACACAATATGACACTTGAATATCATTGAAACTCATATTTGTGAATTATAGTAATCAAGCAGACCATTTACAATGGAGCCTTATAACAACCCTCTGAATCAAGTAGGGTAAATTTTTGCTTCATTTTCATTTGAGGGAAATGAAGTTGCTGAGGTTGTGTGAATTATTTGAAGTCACAAAGCTAGTGAGTGGTGATAAAAGTACTTGAAACCAACAATGGATATAATCAGAGCTCGGAAAGTACCTGCCATGAGACAGGGGAAGGACAGAAATCAGAGGCGTTGTGTGGGAGGGGCTTGGAGAGTTGGACCATCCTTTCTTTCCATCAGTCAATACTATAATGAATATGAGTCTATTTTATGGTGGGTCAGTTATACCTCAATACAGCTGTTTAAGAAAACAGAATGAAATTATTCCCAGGATGTAGTGAAAATGATAAGGGCTAACAATAATAACATCCATAATAACAATGTTAGAATAATAGATATCATTTATCAAGCCCTAGCTATGTGCCAGACAGAAGAGTGAGTGCTTTTACATATATAATCTCATTGGCTCTTACTAATAATGTTCTGATGTAAACATTATGATTATACACATTTTGCAGATGAGGAATCTGAGGCTTAAGAGGTTAATTGACTTGCCCAAGGTGACACAACTTGCAAGTAGCAGCACTAAGATATAAATTGATATCTTACTGATTCTAGAACCTTCCCTCATAGCCACTATCAAAAAGAGTGCCAATCATTTCAAACCTATAATAAAAAGGGGCCATTCAATTTAAAACCAAAACCCAAATCACTAGAACATGAAGGCTACGCTGTCCCTAATGTTGTGGCCTAAACACCCAGAAAACAGACAATGTGCCTTCTTTGGCTTCAGCGATTTGGGCAACTAACTCAATTCTATACTTTGCTATATAAGTTGATCTAACATCAACTTCTGAGTAATTCACTCTTAGAGTGTTAACTACTTATTAATGACCCTTTATAGGATATAAAGAAAATTCCTTACTTTTACCTTATAAAAACAGCCTTAGCTCCTAGAAAGAGTTTAACTTATACTAATTGACTCTCTGTCTGGGCTGAGGCCCTGCCCCTGCCCACAAGCATATACAACCAGAAAACTACAGCTGGAAGACATGAGTGAACTCCATCAGAGAAAGGACAGAAGCAGGGCCATTTGCCCCTTGGGCTCTAATTATTCCAAATCTCAGCATTTTGTGGTGAAGGAAAACTACAGCGACCCACAAGATCATTTTCGCCATGGCTCTAACAGGAGCTGGCACATCTTTGGAATACCAAACACACAAACAAAAAAGAAGTTTGGAATTATTTTGTCTCAAAAAAATGTGGCTTGATTTTTTGAACTGGGCCTTCTACCAAGGGATCAATGGCAAGGCAACTGCAGGGTGAGATTTTCCAGTGGAAGAATCTTGAGAATCTTCCTAGCAATAGTCTTCTGAGTAAGCTGGCACTGGAGTTTATTATTCAACTCAATAGGAGATAGTAAGAAAGAGAAAGAGAGGAAGACACAGCAGAATCAAAGAAAAAGAAACCAATTATGGTCATGCTGAATTTGTGTGCAATAAAATTCTTAACATCTTCTCATTCTTATTTCATTCTTCCAACACCCTTAACAGTGTGTATGTGGTTGGGGGAGGCGAATTACTGAAAATGAGGCTACTAGTATTCCAAAATATTTGACCCATGTCACAGAGCTGTTTAACAGGAGAGCCAACTCAGAAATATAGTTTTCCTGCCTCCAAATTTGTGCTCTTCACAGAATGGGTGTTAAAGCTTCAGAGCAGGATCACTGAGTCATAATCCCAACTCAGGGGTACCGACTCCCCACAATCCTGTACAAGGCACTTTACCTCTTTAAGCCTCACTATTTCTAGAAATGCAATATGGACTCAAATCTCCCCTTGCATCTTTAGAGGGCCAACACAGCATGCTTCCGAACTGCAGAAGGAAGAAAAGTCACCTCATACTTTACCCTCTTCTCTCCCAGATTTTCCAAGGTGGCTGGGCTAGTAGCCAACTATCCTTGGAACACATTCAGTGTTTCTGACTAAAAAGTAGCAGAAAGTCCATTCAAAGCAAAGCTGGCTACAGGGCCCCTCAGGGAATGCTACAACAGGAATGGCCAGGCTGCATGGCTTCTAGCCTCCCCCATCTCTTCCATTTCCAGTCAAATTCCCACATAGCACTAAAAGAAGGACTGGAGAAGAAGCCATCCTAGGGTGAGCAAACACTAAACCATGTGACCACAGATGTGTTGAGAAAGAGGAGATTTCTTCTCCCCAAGTGAGGGATGATCTCATATGTAAGCAGAACCATGATTTCTGGGATGCTCAGAAAATACCTCCTTATCCTAAATGTCTCTTACCACCTTTTCTCTCACTGATGCTTAAAATGCCACTATGAGAAGTCTATTTCTCTAGGTTAAATGATTGCCTTTTGCAATCCCAAGACTTCTATGAGAGGCTACAGTTAACACCTAGTCACAAACTAACACCTCAGTGTGAATAACTGCCACAGGCTTTTTTTTTTTTTTCTTCAGAGCAACTGGCAAATTTTACCAAGAAGTCTGTGGTTCCACTTCACTTCTTTTTGTACAGCTTCTCTCCTCTCCTGGTGTTACCTTCTCACACTCTGGAACCAAGTCCTCATGCTGACTATTCTCTTCCCCACTCTGCCCACCTTCTAAAACAATCATTTCCATAGTGGGACAGTTCTTGGATAGTCAGAAAAGCAGCTTGTATGTCAGGAGACAAATCTGCTCCCAGTGTTATAAATACAAACCTCCCCAGAGCTTTCAGGGATCGGTTGCTAGTTTCCTTGATGTCAAACCATCTTTTCTTTTGCCATTGCTGCCATTACTTTGGTTCCTACTTTTCTTTTGATGGCTGAGTCTGATTCTAGTATTTCTTTGGTTCTCCGTCATTCTACTGATACAGCCTTAGAACATTTGCAGGCTACTGGAAAGAAGGGTGTTGGAGAAGGGATATGGAAATGAAGGTAAAGGCTAGAAAGAAGAGGTTATATTCCCTTTAATTGCTCGTGACACAGAGACACACACATCCAACAAAGTAAAAGTATATTGTCTAAAGGTATAAAGCTTGTATAAAGTCCAGGTCTCAGAAATATATGGGAGGAAAGAATGACTATGAAAAGAAACCCCTAGAACAGGATGCTGTTTCTATGTGCGTATCTCATAGTAATACCAGAGAAAAGAACTGAGCCTGGTCTCTGGGGTCTGCAAACATTGGTCTCTGGGGTTCTAGCTGCTATGATCTGAATATTTGTATGCCTCTGAAATTCATATGTTGAAATAACTCACAAGATTATGGCTTAGGAGGTGGAGGCTTTGGGGTGATTAGGTTATAGGGCGACACCCTCATGAATGAGATTAGTGTCTTTATTAGAAGAGGCCTGTGGGAGCTTATTTGCCCCTTCTACCATATGAGCTCACAGGGAGAAGGCATCATCTCTGAACCAGAAAGCAAGCCCCACATCTCTTTCCTTACCAGCCTGCTTTCTGCCCTCCAGAAACCCTATCATTTATAGCTAGTAGTAAAAGAACAACAATTGCATTTATTGAGCATTAATATGTACCTGGTACTATGCTGAACAGATCACATGTCTTACCTTGTTTGATCATCTCAACTTGTGGGGTAGGTACCATAATCATCCCCATTTTATAGATAGGGGAACTGAGACTCAGAGATGCTAAGGATTTGTTCAGCTAATACGCAATAACTAATTAGTAATGGAGCATTTGAATCCAAATGGGACACTCTGAAGTAAGGTTTCTCCTCCTCCTAGGAGAGGTCTTGAAAACTGCATTTTCAGCCAGCTCCCTCATGCAACTCTTAAGTTCTAGAAAGTTTCACACTCTTTGCCCTGTGCTCTACAGCCTCATTATGAATAAAACATCAAAGGCCTATGTTACAATGTAATTATCTAGAAAAGGACCCTGTTTTAAAACATTAGCTTCCATTGTCACTTCAGTATGGATTACTTAACAGGATTAGTATTAAGGCCTGCCGGCAGAACCTCAATGTGATAGGCCACAGAAGAGTTACGTTTTATACGGGAGGACAGTTTGGGGAAAATCTGGAAA